ATCCTTCTCTGGACTCATCAGACTCGTCAGATTCGTCAGAGTCAGGACGCCTTGTCACGGGGCGTGGAGTCGTGGTCGGCCTTCGAATGGGGAATTCCCTTGACTCATCGGATTCATCAGAATCTGGCGTGGAGGCCTTGGTCGTGCGTGGTGAAAACGAAGGGCGTCTTGGGAGGTCTGTAGACGTATCCTTCTCTGGACTCATCAGACTCGTCAGATTCATCAGAGTCAGGACGCCTTGTCACGGGGCGTGGAGTCGTGGTCGGCCTTGGGGTCGTGATCTCCCGAGACTCGTCAGATTCGTCGGAGTCAGGCGGTGAATATCTTGGTCTTGGGGTTGTGGAAACGAAGGGCGTCTTGGGAGGCCTGTAGACGTATCCTTCGCGCGATTCGTCGGATTCATCGGAATCAGGGCGTCTGGTGACTGGTCGAGGAGTCGTGGGCGGCCTTCGAATCGGGAACTCCCTTGACTCATCGGACTCCTCTGAGCTCTCGAGGGAGTCTGATTCGTCGGAGTCCGGGCGTGGGCGTCTTGGTCTTGGGGTTGTGGAAACGAAGGGCGTCTTGGGAGGCCTGTACACGTATCCTTCGCGGGACTCGTCGGATTCGTCTGAGTCAGGACGTCTGGTGGTGGAACTCGGTCGAGGAGTCGCGATTGGCCTTCGAGTCGTGATCTCCCTTGACTCATCTGATTCATCCGATTCGTCAGAGTCAAGGAACGTGATCCTCGGCCTGGGGGAGGGAGGCCGGACGATGGGGGCCGAATAGGTCGGGGCGGGGGTCGTAGCGACGAAGGGCGTGGCGGGCGTTGTGTAGACGTATCCTTCGGCGGACTCCTTGGATTCCTCTGAGGAGTCTGGGATGAAGAACCGCGTCCTGGGCGTGGTGGCGGACGGCGCCTCCCGAGACTCGTCAGACTCATCCGGGGAAGGGCGGGTATACCTCGGCCTGGGCGTGGGGAACCGTCGGACTTCCCTCGACTCCTCGGACTCGTCAGATTCGAGAGAGGCAGGGCGGGAATACCTCGGCCGAGGAGACGTGAAGCGCGGGCGGGCTTCCCGGGACTCGTCAGATTCGTCGGAGTCGGGCGCGGCGTAAACAGGCCTGGGCACGGAGACGCGGGGGACTTCGCGGGACTCGTCGGACTCGTCGGAATCAGGGACGCCGTAACGCCTTCCTACCTGAGGAGTCCCTCCCTGGGCGAATCGAGGCTCCCCCTCGTACTTGACCTCCGCCACGAAGCCCGAGTCGCCGTCCACTCGGTAGCTGACGACCTGCCTGCGTCCGTCGGGGAGCTGGACGTGGTAGGACCCCTTGGTGTTCTCTCCGTCGCGGGTGTCCTTGTGGCCGAAGTCGTGGCCGCGCAGGTCCGACGAGGTGTAGGAGAAGTCATACTTGGGGGGCCTGTAATTCTCGAAGGACTCCTGGAAGGAAAAGCGCGATGTGAAGGTATTCTGAGACGCCGTGTATGGCTATCAGATACTACAAAATAACAGTAAAATATACAAAGAAATTCTAGACTGACTACTATGATTACCTGTTTCCCAATTAACCAGAAACGCGTCAGGTACATTATACCTCCCTGATAATCGGCCTCAAAAGGTATGTTGTAACAGCAAGTATATGTATATCAAATAACACATATTTGGGATATGTTAATACTGATATTCTCATCATAGGCAGTAAAAGATAGGCGTAACCGAAAAAAAAATATGCATATAATTTAATATATATTCGAATTACCAAATTCATCGATAGACAATAATAAAACGTAATTAAAAGGGAAAAACAGAGATAAAATGAAATTGGATTTAAAGTCGAATAGACGAAGATAAAGAAGGAAAAGGAAAGGGAAAGGGAAAGATAGACGATGATAAAAACGTAAATAAAAGGGAAAGAAAGAGATAAAATGAAATGTTTAAACTCTCATCCCACACATTATTATCGTTATCATTACCAATCTATTTACTACCGGTACCACCACTGCTACTGTTATCATCATTACAATAATCATTGCTATATTTACTATTATTGCCATACTAATACTAATTAAGTCATTGTGTCTCTTAGCACCTAACATTACCCACAAAGGTCCTGCATACGTTGTCCCTCCCTATTATCTGCTACAAGTTACATCATCACGAAAGGGGTAATATGCAAATTAATGAGACTGACGTGACCCCTATACATGTTGACAAACGTAGGGGAATTAGGGGGGGAATTAGGGGCAGGGGAGAGGGAGGGGCGAAGGGGAGAGGGAGCAGGGGGGACGGGGTGGGGAGCGAAGGGGGAGAGGGGGAGGGGAGAGAGGGGGGTTATCTTCACAATACAAGAGATGTATTTGACCGGTTTCGAATACATCTTTGTCACAAGATATATAGTATTCTGACACGAAGATGTATCCGAAGCCGGTCAAATATGACATGTCTTGTATGATGAGGCTGACATGAACCGGAAGGAAGGGGGAGAGTTATTGACATGATTGTTATGGTGTATATTG